ATACATTTTCTCAGAGAAATGTTGAACAAGAACTATTTTCTAATAAAACAGCTACAAAATAGGTTACTCACTTTTTGGCCTTTCATATTCTATTTGTAGGAAGGAAATGTTTTAAAAAAATCTTAATTAGTATTAAAAAATCACAATTAATTTGATAATTACAGTTGCCCCTTTGTGTAGGTTTTATACCTTATCTAGATAATTTTTTATGATCTGCCTAGTATCTGACACACTTGGAAACTCATCGCCATGATCAAGAGTACCCAAACCAAACTACTGCGAGTTACTGAAATTACTGTTGCTGAAGAATGGAAATTACCCTTTGTGTGGACTAGAGTGTGCACTCTCCCCAGAGGGAGCATGCTGTTCATCTAATCTTGGAAACTGCTGTATTCGGCAAAGGTTGCCAAGGCTTGGGGGCCCTAGAGTATGCATTGGGTTACTGATGGAGTTTAGTTTCTGACTTCGAGGTGAGAATGTAACCAATTGAGCCAGGCTGACACACAATGCCCAAACAGTTCAAAGCAGCAATAAACAGGGTGAATAGGATTCTGGGCTATATTGGCAAATCAGTCCAGTTCCCCAGATATTGTGTTCAAGCTGTATGGTTTTGTGGTTAGGCTGTACCTGGAGTACTATGTAGTATTCTGATCGCTGTGACCCATGTCTTAGAGCGAGTGCAGAGGAGAGCAATGATGTTGTGCAACCTGTGTTAGAGTTAGCATCTGTGAAGAGCAACCAGGACTTTTGAGTTCAGAAAAGAGGCTTTTCATAGAAGTTTCACTAGATTATGAATGTAATGTATATATGGAGTAATATTTTCAGATATGCCAAGGTAGCTGGATAAGAGGGACACAGTTCAAAGTTGTGAAAAACAAGTTTAGGATAGCCAGTAAAAAATATTTTACTTCACAGAGGTTATCATTAATTGGGACAGGTTATAAAGTGAAAGTGAGGCCAGGGCACTAGACATTTAAATAACATCTTAATAGTGTAAAGAGAGATGGAGGGACTGTAGGAAAGACTCTGTGGAAGGATGAGATTAAATGGGCCGAATGCCATTTTACATTTGAACATCCCTTGTGATTTTGTAATACTCTTCCTGTAAGTAAATATTTGCCACTTTTTTGATCTAAGTTTGGCTGCTTTGAAGGTTACAATATTGATTTTGATCTCTTTCTGTAAATTGCTATGAGTAAAGAAAATATTAGATGTGCTATTGCTAATTTCAAACGCAATATACCCTTTGGAAATCTACTGCAGCATCGCCTGATATTTTCACCCACAAAATACAGTCGATCCACTTTAAAATATGAAGCACTTTGAGACGTCTCAATGATGTGATAAGGCGCTATATCAAAGGCAATAATTATTATTAATTTAGATAGTGCTATGAAATTATTGCAGTAAAGACAAGAAAAGACAGTGTAATGACTAGCAACAAGGTAGTAATAGCAATTGTGAATAGATATTTGGGCTGGAAATTAGGTATCAAAATATACTGTGTTTTGTTTTGTCGATAATCAATTCCTAAATACATGTTTTCTTAAAGAATAAGTGAATAATAAGGCAATTAGGATTGTGATTCCTTTCTGCTTTGGGCATTTATTGATGAGTCGTCAAGTTCAAGATTGACAACAACTTGCACTTGTATAATGCCCTTCACATAAGATAATATCTCAGGGTGTATCACAAGGACAGGATCGGGTGCTGAGTATGGGGAAAGGGTGAGGTGACTGAGCAGGTCAGAGATAGGTTTTCAGGCAAGGTTTGAAGATGGATAGAATGAGGGCTAGATGGAGGAGTAGATGGAGGGAGGTTCAGAGGTTAGAGTGTAGTAGGTGAAGGCTCTCTTACCAATGGTGGCATGGAGAAAGCTGGTGTAATTATACACAATCTGAACAACAACAACTTGAATTTATGTAGAGCCCCTCACAAAATATAGCATCCCAGAGTGCTAAAGTACGAGCGTGATCTTAAGTTTCTTTATTCTCTTCTCAAAAATCTCCAGTCCACTAACCATAAACACACCAATTTGTTCCTCTCCCAGTGTCCTTATGTACTTCCTGTCTTTATCTCATTGGCTCTTTTTAATTGTCCTTTTACTCTTAAAGTGATACTACATGGGAGATGCGGAACAGGCCCAAGTTAACTGAGAAGAGGGGGGGGGGCACGCAGGTTGAGGTAAGAGAAAGTTACAGAGATAAGAGAGATACTAGGGCATGAAAGGATTTATAGATAAGGATGAGGACCTTGAAGTTGGAAATGGAAATTTAAAAAAGCAACTGGAAATTGCATAGAATATCATTCAAAGGTATGAAAATGTCACTATATCTCTTTAAATATGATGAAATAGAATGCAATATGAATAAATGCAAAATCTTTTTAAAAATTACTAGAAATAAAACATGCAATGTCTACATAATGTTGCTTTAAATATTCCAGAAATTAAAATGATCTAATAACTCATGAGGAACCATTTCCGCCACAAAGCGTTACTTTTTTGTTACTTATATACATCTTTAAACATTCTTTTCATTTGCTTTTAGTGAAAATATCTTGAATGCAGAAGTCTCTTTAATGCTGCTTGCTGCTTCCCCGAAGTTAGCAATAACTATCCAGAAAATCTTCATAGTGTATAATTTACTTGATAACTTTGTACTTTCCTGAAATAGAATTTTATTTTGTACCAGTTAGCCACAGATGAAGGATGAGTTTTGAATTCTAGGTCTTAATGAGATATAATAAAATGATTTCAAATGGGATGCTTTAATGAGGAAACCAGAAATACATCTCTCTGACTAGTGGGAAATCTATTCCAAGGAATTCACTTTGGAGTGGAGTTCCCCATAGGTCGCACTTGTTAGTTACTGTGAGGGATTCCCAGTTAGAATCCTTATTAAGAAATCCAGTTAGAAAGTGTTGCCTATTGGACCTCCATATCAAGATAAATGATTGCTGAGTTTTTTTAAGTATTTTCTGGAATCAAGATTTTTTAATGGAATTTTATTATATTTAAGATTTTCTTCGCATTGTCAAGCAAAGGTGCTAGGCAACAACAATTTAGATTTTTTAAAATATATAATTTAAAATAATATAGCACTTTTCACATCTCAAGGTGCTTTAGGCAACTGACTGGGATTAAAATGTGGCTGGGTCAGTAGTGTTGAAGGAAATTACAGAGTTTGATTTTACATAGTGGCTAAAAATCTGGGTGAACAGCAATGAGTGTTGAACTGCATAACCGGGCTTAATATGAGGTACCATTGCACGTAAGAGACTAATAACCCAAGTAAAAATCTTAGTGTGAAAAGAGGGAAAACTCACCTTAAATGTAATAATTTCTAACACTTTCAATGTACAAGTAAAATTACTGAAGATTCTGTGCTCTTGTGATATGTAATCAGGCTTTGGCTTGTGAAAATTCTAAATGCAATGAATGTACACTGAAGAATAAGGTTCAAATATTTCAACAACAGTATGTACATTTTTACTAGCATTGCTGGCACTTACTATCCACATAAGAAGGGCTGAGACTGGTACTTGTCAGATGTTTAATGACTTGTTAGAAGGTTTTGTCATTGGGATCTGGGATTCTTGGCATACAGCTTTTTTTAACCATAAGACCATAAGATGTAGGAGCAGGAGTAGGCCATTTGGCCCCTTGAGCCTGCCTCGCCATTTAAGAAGATCATGGTTGATCTTCTAACCTAATTCCATTTACCCGCACTATCCCCATATCCCTTAATCCCTCTGTCCTTTAGAAATCTATCAATCTCAGTTTTGAATATGTTCAAGGACTGAGCATCCACAGCCTTCTGGGGTAGAGAATTCCACAAATTCATTACTCTCCGAGTGAAGAAATGTTTCCTCAACTCAGTTTGAAAAGCCTGACCCTTAATCTTGAGACTATGACCCCTAGTTTTAGATTCTCCAACCAGGGAAAACAGTCTCTCACTATCTATCCTGTCAAGATCCTAAAGAATCTTATAGGTTTCTATAAGATCACCTCTAATTCTTCTATATTCTAGAGAATATAGGCCTAGTTTACTCAACCTAGGATAACCCCTTCATCCCAGGAATCAACCTAGTGAATCTACGCTTCACCCCCTCTAAGGCGAGTATGTCCTTTCTCTAGTAAGGAGATCAAAACTGCACACAGTATTATAGGTGCGGTCTCACCAAGGCCTTCTACAGCTGCAACAGATTTCCCTGCTCTTGTACTCTAACCCTTTTGCACCGAACGCCAACATGACATTAGCCTTCCTAGTTGCTTGCTATACCTGCATACTAACTAACTTTTTGTGACTGGTGTACAAGGACATCCAAATCCCTCTGAACACTAACACAACCTAGTCTCTCCCCCTCTAGAAAATAATCCGCTTTTCTATTTTTACTACCTAAATGAATAACTTCACACTTCCCCACGTTGCACTCCATCTGCCACCTTCTTGCCCACTCACCTAGCCTGTCTATTTCCCTTTGCATTCTTCATGTGTCATCCTCACAGCTTACTCTCCCACCTATCTTCGTATAATCCGTGAATTTAGATATGTTAATTTCTATTTCCTGATCCAAATCATTGATATCAGGATCATAACCCTGCAATCCAAAGCCTTAACTGGTAGATCTACCCTAGCTGAACAAGCAGTGGAAACTTGTCATTGTTCACAATGATAAGGTCTATGGTTTTAGCTAGTTAAACTCCAGCAATGTACTCAATGCACACTTGCAAGTTCCCCACACGTTGGTTCAACTTGCTCTCTACAGGATTAGGAAAGCAGGTTCATCCTTCTGGGGAGAGATTGTGCACTCCATTACCAGACAAACAGAAAGCATGCATATAATATATGGAACTCTAGGTCGTTTAGGTGGACATTTTAAAGCACGGTGATAGGTTTCTGCATATATCAGATACCCAGCTGACCAAACCAGTAAATGTTGTAATTAATGAAATACTTTGGCGAATGTGACATATAACGCACTTGTTTGTTTTATAGGAGAAACTGATCTTCCTTCATAGTTTGTATCAGCGTCTGGTAGCAGGTTGTGTGTTCCTGAAACAATCGGATGGTATGCTGGCCAAATTCTCCTGGACTGAGCTGTGCTCTATCCTGCAAGACAACATTGAAACCCTCACTTCTGACTTGAACAGGGCCAGTGAAAAGGTAACTTTGATGAAGTTGTTAGCCATCCTACCAAATGCAATGACATTTGTCTTCACAACATGATTCAAAAAAGGCTTGACAATCAACTTATTTCAAAAAGAAATTCCTCTTTAATAATTCAGAAACATTAATTATAATTTATCTCAGATGCAGTTTGATGCCATTTCTAAGGACATGCAAATGTGACTGAAGTCTGAATTAATTCTCCAAGCACCATTCGTCTCAAAAACAAATCTGAATTTTGTTATATACTTTTTCAGGACTTGCTAATTCTGCTACTGAGGATTAGCCACAGGGACCTAATTAGAAGAAAATAAATTAATTTAAATTTTACCAAGAAGAAAAATTCAAAGCACTTGTTCACTTGTAGCAATAAAACAAAATCATATTCACAGCACAACACAACAATATACACCTCCACAAAAAGATTTGCATAAAAATGAGTTGGTGCACCCTTCCTCTACTCTGATCAATTTTAGCACATCGATCACAAACAGTGTTTGAATCTACCTGTAACATATTTGATGCTTGTTTAACAAAATAACAAGCTGACAATATTTACAACTTGCATGAGGATTGCCTCAGATCACTCCACTGATATTAATTGATATTAATGAGAACCAGTGTCTTGGACTAACCTGCAAGCTGGCATGGATATTGAAAACAACCAAACATAGGTTGTTACCTTATAATAAAAATTGAGGGTAATACTACTACTACTAATAGTAATAATAATTCTTGCATTTGATATAGCGCCTTATCACGTCATTGAGACATCTCAAAGTGCTACACAGAATATACTGTAAAGTGATTTGACTATATAATAATAATCCTTATAGTTGTTGAGGTACCTTATATGGTTGAACATCTCAAAGTGCTTCATCAGGTTCACTGTAAAGTGTAGTGACTGGATTTTGCAGGCAAATGTGGCAGCTAATTTGCACACAGCAATATCTCATAGTATAAATTTTGTATAGATGCATTCAAGAGGAAGCTGGACCTTCACATGAGGGAGTGGAGAAGAAGGATATAGGATAGAGTAATAAATGGTTGGAAACTTATGCAAAGTACTGTATAAATACTGGTACAGACTGATTGGGCCAAGTGGCCTCTTCTCATGGTGTACATTCTTTGCAAATTATTGTAAAAATCAAACTTACAATGTACTTTAGAGAAGGAAATCTGCCATTCTTTCCTTGGTCCAAGACAGGGAGGTACGAGGATGTAAATGGACTTATAGGTGAGGACCTTGACATTGATTTGGTGGAAGCCACTGTAGTGTGGTGAGGAGTGGGGTGATGGGCATGCAGAGTTTGCTATGGATGAGAAATCAGGTGGTCGAGTTCAGATGAGCTGGAGACTGTGGATCTGGGGAGACCAATGGGAAGTGTGTTAGAATAATCGATATGGCGGGTAACAGAGGCGTGAATAAGGGTTTCAATAGCCTTTTGTGTGAGGTGGAGGTGGGCAGTGTGGCAGAGGTGAAGAAGAAAAGCGGTTTTGGTTAGGTACCAAATGTGAGGAGGAAAGAAGAGCTGAGAATTAAACTGAATGACAAGGCTGGTTGTGCACGCTTTGGTGAGGTTGATAGAGAAAAGCTAGGGAGGTCAGAGCTGGGGTTTAGTGAAGGTTTTTAATAATTTAAGGACGTTCTATCCTGATTTAATCACTTGCCAAAATGTGAAATACAACCATTGGAGAATTCAATCAATAACTTAAAACTCAACCTTAAGATTTAAGTGTACGAATCCAGATTTCAGAAATAGTTTGATGTGCTGCTAAGTTTGGATTACTTTGCTCTACACTATATTTTTACTGCTTTTGTGTTGAGAGTTCAAAGGAAAATAAAGAGAGTTTTGCAGTCAGCGGAGTGGAATTGCCCCTACAACTCATCACATGCAAGAAATCTGAGCTGCAAGGCAAGAATTATACAGAGTTCCATGAAGTTGTAAACTGACAGTATTGTTGAGCTCCAGTGCCTCAACAAGCAGCATGGGAATCTCTCAACAATGTACTGCTTTTGAAACCTTTGAACATTGACATAAATTGACCTCCATGAATATGTTAGGCAGGCACCTCAATGGGGGCACAGAACAAAGTGTTAGACCCTTTCAGCAAAGGAGAAAGATCGGTTCTTCACTTGAGATTCTATATTTTCAAAAATAGAAGTCGTGTAGACCCTGTACGGCAATACCAGAGCAATAGGCTACTGGAATTCTGCTCAGATTCCAGTATCCAAGATGAGCAAAACCCTTGGATGATTGGTGCCTCATTATCAAAACATCTCAAGTCCTTCACAAGTAATTATTTTCAAGTGTAATAATTTTTGGTACGCAAATGTGGCAGCCATTTTGAGACAACAAGTCCCACAAAGCACTATGTAAACACCTCTGACAATACAAAGCTCCACCAGTAAGTGTCAGCCTTGACTTGAGTAAATGACTCACTTTTGAGTCAGAAGAATGTGGGTTCAAGCCCCACGTCGAATTTTGAATTTGATGTTTCGACTGTCGCTCGTTTGCAGTGCGCTGCAATGCCAGAGATTCTGCCCTGAGGGGATTAAACCAAGGTCCAGGTGGATGTTAAAGATCCCAAGGCACAATTTGAAAAGAGAAGGGAGTTTCTTAGTGTCTGGCCAAGAATTCTGTAGATAAAATTAGTTATTCATTTAATGACTGTTTGTGGGACATTGCTCTGTCCAAACTAGATGCTATGTTCACCTACAAAATATACAGACACTATATTTTATAGTAAATTCTGTGTAGCATTTTGAGACGTCTTCCCAACTTGAAAGGCACTAAATGAAATGCAAGGATCAATATATTGTTATTATTGGACTGAAGTATCAGCATACACTGTGAATTTAATATGAACAAAACACAAAATACTGCAGACGCTGGAATCTGAACCAAAACAGAGAGAGCTGGGAAAACTCAGCAGGTCAGGCAGCATCTATGGAGAAAGGAAAGTGAGTTAACGTTTCAGGTCCACGACCCTTCTTCAGTTCTGATCGTATATCCTAATGTCATAAGTACCAATTGTAAAAAGTGGGGACACGCACAGCAGCTTAAATTAAGTACTGAAGATATTTGGCTTCATGTGTGAAGCATCATTATGAATGATGATTGTATATTTTAAATTACAATTAGTGTAATTTTTGTGTTTGTTCCACTGGTAACTTTTTAATTTACAGTAATCCTAGCCCATCAGTTTTTTCCAAATGAAAGACTTGTAGATACAGCTCATAATATTCTATATTTATATTGTGCATTTTGTACAAGTGTGAAGTCCTGTAGCTCAGTGGTTAGAGCACTTGCCTTGCAAGCGAGAAACCTGGGTTCGATTCCTGGCAGGGCGAAACCTTGAGCAAGTTTGCTTACTCCACATGCCTGATAAAAATCCCTCAAGAAAAGAAAACAAAAATAATTTGGTCACTCAACCTATGGCAGTTTGTGGGATACTGCTGTGCACAATTGGCTGCCGAGTTTCGCCCACAAGTATACAGTCAGTTCACTTTACAGTATATATGTTAAGCGCTTTCAGGCTTCTAGAAGATGTGAAAAGCGCGACATCAATTCAAGGATGATTATTATTGTTATAAGTGTACATTGATGTGAATGTTTTTAATTCCTTTATAATAATTCTGAACCTACAGGTATCTCACTTGGAGCATATTTGTAGGAATAAGGATGAAACTATAAAAGAATTGCAACAAAGCCAGGATAATACTTTCAGTAAACTGGCCGAACAGATGAAGGAGCGAGAGGCTGGCTGGCAGAAGCAGAAAATAGAGTTAGAAGAACATTATTCTGGACTCCTTGGGGAGGTTCATACAAGGGCACAGGTACAATCTGAATGACTGAATTGACAGTGTCTGTGCGAGTGGATTGCAGATGTGTATGTAGTCCCCTGTTGGTTTTGACTGGTGTGTGTGAAAGTTCAGTTGATATCATAAGCTTTAAGAGTGAAGGTTGAGTAGTGTATCACTACCAACTTAACCTCAAAATGAGATTACAACTTTAAAAGCAGTTCATGGAATCTCCTAACTACAATGGATGTAGCGTGTATATGTGTGTGTATAGTATATAATGTAAGTGTTCCTAGATGTTACCCTATGTGAAGAGGACATTATATAAATGCAAGTTGTAATTGTTGATGTGATGGAGTTCCGGTTTACCTTATAGTGACTGTCATGGTGGCCACTGTTCCTGCTGATGATGTGTGATGATGTTCACACTTGTATTATTACCCATATCAAAATAATCTAATAATTGACAGCCAACACGGTTCAGACAAGGTGGGTCTTGTCTGACCAATCTCAGACTTTTTTGAGGAGTCCAAATTGTGAAGTATCATTATGAATGGTGATTGCATATTCAAATTTAAAATTACAATGAAGAGTAATTTTGTTTGTCCAGAAGATCTCAAACTCAATCCTTTGAGGAATGGGGAACCAGTAGTCAAGGGAGCCAAGCGAGGATGGGGGTGATAGGCTCACAGATTCTGGTGCGAATAAGGACATGAGCTGCAAAACTTTGAAAAATCTCCAGCTTGTAGAGTGAAGAGTTTGGAAGATCAGTGAACATAGACTCCACATAGTTAAGCCTAGAGTGATAAAAGCATGGATAAGGGTCTTGGGGACACAAGGGTAGAGGTGGTGGCGGAGACAACCAATGTTGCGAAGGTGGGGGAAAACTGATTGGGTCAAGGCATGGAAATGAGGGGGGGGAAGCGTTAAAGCATAATTGGGAGTTGAACAAAACACAGAGGTTCTGTACTGGTTTAGTGAGGTGTAGGGTACATCCATGTATAGTGATGCTATCAGCGCCTGAGGTGAAAAGGTGTTAATGGGAGGGCCTCTGTTTTGTCTACATTCAATTGGAGAAAGTTACCTCTCATTCAGGGCTTGGTGTCTGACAGGCAGAACAGCAGTGGTCCTGGAGCCGAGGGTGGAGGCAGAGAGATAGAGTTGGGTGTCATCCACGTACATGTGGAAGTTTGTGCAATGTTTGTGGATGACGTCACGAAGCGGAACACTGCATACACTTCTAGTCACCATGACAAAAGTGGGGGGGTGGGGGTGCCCAGGTCCTAGAGGTGGTGCAGAGGAGAGCAACAAGAATAATAATAATCCTTGCATTTGATATAGCGCTTTTCACGTCGGGAGGACGTCCCAAAGCGCTTCACAGAACACACTGTAAAGTGAATTGACTGTATATTTGTGGGCGAACGCGGCAGCCAATTGCGCGCAGCAATGTCCCATAAACAGTCAGCCAGCTAGTGCTAGAGGAAAGAGCTATGAGCAATGGCTAGACAAGCTACGGCTCTTCAGTCTTGAGAGAAGACAACTCAGAGAGGATCTCAGAGATCTACAAAATTTTAAATGCGATTGAAAAATAAATCCAGAACAATACTTTATGATGTATCATGATAGTAGAGTTGTAGGGGCAATTTCAGGGTAGATACCAGGGAACTTTTCTTTGCTTAGAGCAGCGTGGTCCAACAGGTGGCACGTGGGCCGCCAGCAGCTCAGCAGGTGATTTTATACGGCCCGCGACCATTTCCATCACAAATTCCACTCCCTCCCTCCCTCCTTGGTGAACATACCCCCAGGGCAGTGTCAGGAGCCAGCGGTTGGGAGGACGCAGCACGCAAAACCTTTACTGCAGTCTTGTCAGAAAGGCAAGCGCGACTCTTACCAACTGTGTCCTTAACAGCCAATCACTGGCTTCTGCCGCTGCAGATAGTCACCCACACTTGGGAGAGGGATTGGAGGAGAGAGGGATTTAGACAGGGGGAAGAGGGGAGATAGAGGAGGTGGGGAGGAGAGGAAGGGGAGAGATAGAGAGGGGAAGAGAGAGGAGAGAGAGACAGGGGGGAGAAAGAGTGAGAGGGGAGGGCGCGAAGGGGGAGAGACAGAGCGGGAAGAGAGGGAGAAAGAGAGGTGAGGAAAGAAGGGGGAGAGAGGGTGGCAGGAAAGTGGGAGGCAAAAGAGGAGAGAGTATATGTGAGAGGTAAGAAAGGAGGAGTGAGACGGAGAGCGATTGAGAGAGTGGAGAGCAGAGAGAAATTTGAGAGAGGGAGAGTGTGAGGCAGAGAGAGAGAGGGTGAAATGGAGTGAATGTGAAGGAGAGGGAGAGAGAAAGAAACAGAGGGGGGAGATTGAGAGAGGGTAATTGAGAAAGGGTGATTGAATATAATATATACATCTTGAAGACGTGATAAGGCACTATATCAAATGCAAGTATTATTATTACTATTGTTCAGATTGACTTTTATTTGATAGTACTTACATTTGAATAGAAACAACATTTTGATAATGGGAAGTTACAGATTAAATATTAGAATGAAAAAGTTTCAAAGTTGGTATTAGTACAACAGCAACAACAACTTGCATTCATGTAGCACCCCTCAACCATTAGCATCCCAGAACGCTTAAAATCTGAGTGCCATTTCCAGTCAATTTGAATTTGTTTCTATTCTCAGATTTAAAAGCAAATACAGAGCAGCCCTTTATAACATGTCAGCAGAACAACAGTTTTTTTTAATCTAAGATTTAAGGAAGCAAAGCATAATAGTTTCAAACCTTTCTGACATAATTTTGTTCAGAACAAATCCTAGGTGGGAAATGAACAATTTAACATTCTTGGTACCTTTCATAATAATAAATAATCTTTGCATTTGATAAAGTGCCTTATCATGTCGTTGAAACATCTCAAAGCGCTTTACAGGATATCCTGAAAAATGTATTGAGTGTATAGTTTGTGGGCGAAATGCGGCAGCCATATTGTGGCAGTTCATAAATCTGAACACCACAGTGTGTTCTCAATCATATTTCTTCCCAATACCAATGTATGTAAAGAGAGCTACTGCTGGGTCCTGTAGCTGGTGGTATAATTCTTTTGTCTTGAAACTTCTGTTTATTAGAACTTTAAATATATTAAAATTTGCTATTTTAATTCACGATTGGCAAAAAACATTAAAACTAATCAATGGAGTTTAGCAGATAATTGCTTTCTTCTGGAATACTTAGCAAACTAGGTAATTGCACATGCAGTTTATTCAATACTTTAATATTAATATGGTTTAGTAAGTTGCTGATGTAGCATTTTTGGAAAAAAAGTCAGGCTAGAGAATCAGTTTACAAGAACTCTTTGCGAACCTCTATTTGGGGGATAATCCAGGATCCACTGTAGTCGACAGCTTGATTATACAGCATCCTTCAAGTCTCAGAATACTTTACACAGACTGTGCTACTGAGTGATGGGGAGTGAGGAGGAGAGGGGAAGTGACAACAGGCATGCTTGCTGCAGTAGGTATATATTTAATCAGCTTTTGAAGACTGATAGGTGTTCCAGAAGGTAGGATCTTAGTTGTTAAAGGCTCAGGCACCAAAGCTGGAGTTCATGGGGGCATAAAGCTGGCTTAAGTTTGCCGAATGGAGTCTGTCGAGGTTGTATGTAGGTGACAGGTATGCAAGTTTTGTGCAGGTGAGGACGAGTGCGGCAGTTTTGGATAACCTGACGAAATCGACTTGGAGAATATTAAAAATATTAATCACAAATAACAATCAAAATTTACCCAAATGTTTCTTTTTAGCCAGTATACATGTTAGCGCTGAATCTCGTTCTGCTTTCCTCTGTTATTACAACCTCTGTTAGCAGCTTTGTTGTACCCTACATTATTTTTAACCAAAGCATTTTCGTTTCATATTGTTTTGAAATTATGAACCTCATTTATGAAACAATGTGGTTAATTTTCACAGAAATGTCATGCAGCAGCTGAAGAAGCCAAAGAAAAAGTATTTGGTCTGGAAAAAGTCAAAGAGCAGCTGACTCTTGGATTATCTCTCCTCAAGAAGACCTTGTGTCAGACACAGAAGGAGCATACCGCCTTGCTGGCCGCTTGTGCCTTGATGGCTGGTGCATTGTACCCATTATACAGTAGATCCTGTGCATTCTTTGTGCAAAAAAACTTTCTTCAAGAGCAAATAATTAGTTATGAATATTTCAAAAATGAGGTCAAGACTGTTGTTCAGGTACTTTCTGTGGAAGGTAATCCAGGCAAATCGAAGAAAAGGAAGACTCTTGACAGAGGAATGATTCAGGTTTTTAGAAACTGTGTTATTGCCGTCATAGCAGCAAATAGATTTCGAACCTTTGGTCGAGGATGTGGTCAACTCTTTACCTGGATTGAGAACTTTAAGGAGTCGCCAAGACTTTTAGTTTGCACAGGCAGAGCAAAGTCCTACATTAGTTCAAGTAAGTATCAGCACAATAAGCAAACAGCATATTACTAAGGTTATTTCTTTCAATTTCCAATTGCTTACTTGGAGAGGTTGTCCCATGACGATTTTAACCTGGTCCCAGAGGTGAGAGAAGATTGCCCTAATGCACGATGCTACCCATTTTACTATCTAAAGTTATTTAACATTTTATTGAATTTTGTTCAGTGATGACACATTTTTAATTGAAAGTTATTTTGTGTGGAACAAAAGAGGTAATTCAATTTGATACATTGTTAAGCAGTATAGCCGTTCTTGAGCATCATGTCCAAGATTGCAAATTATTTCAGTTATATAATATAATAATAATCCTTGCATTTGATATAGCGCCTTATCACGTCTTTGAAAGGTCTCAAAGCGTTTGACAGAATATAACTGTAAAGTGAATTGATCGTATATTTTGTGGGTGAAATGAGTCAGCCAATTGCGCACAGCAGTATCACAAATTATTATTATATATTTTTAAGGGATTATTACCCCCAGAAAAGCGAACCGCCAATCCACTAGCAAACTGGTTCTGCCAGGTAAACAGGCGTGTGGAGTAAGAAAACTTGCCCAACATTTCACCCTGCCCGGGAACCGAACCAAGGTGCTCTTGCTTGCGAGGCAAGTGGTCTAACCACTGAGCTACAGGACTCCACAGGAGTTTACAATATGTATTGATAATATTCCTTTGTATTCTAAAGAAGAATGTTTCTCAGAAACTAAACAAATTTTTCATTGAGTTAATACTCATTGAATGTCGATTGAGCTAAATAAAAGATGTTTATAAAACATTAGTAGTATTATCTTAAAGCTTTTATTTTGCAACTTTTTAATGCAATCTAAACATTTTGGATTTGAATTGTGACTGCCTCTTATAATATAATAAATACAATCCTTGCATTTGATATCATAGAATTATTGAGAATCATAGAATTATGGAGCACAGAACGAGGCCATTCGGCTCATCATGTCTGTGCCAGCTGTGTGCCTTATCATGCCTTCGAGACATCTCAAAGTGCTTCATAGTTTATACTGTAAAGTGAATTGACTGTATACTTGTGGGCGAAATGCGGCAGCCAATTGCGCACAGCAGTGTCCCACAAAAAGTCGTGGATTGAATTGATCAATTTATTATTTGCTTTGAAGGAATTTTGACCATGGTGTCATTTCAGAAAGGGAGTAGCAGTGATTTCAGATGTTCTGTTTTTACAGGATTCTGTGGTTTGGGAGATTATGTACCATCATGTTACGTTTTAATTTTTTGTTAGGTCAAGAAAAACAGCAGAGCCCCTTTAGCCAAACACTTGGGTGGTTTTCAAGTTCTGATCTCTTAGCTGCGGTGGTTGATTCAGTGACTGAGCTCCAAGATGTAATTATTAAAACAGGTAAGCAAAGTGTACAATCCACCATCTGGGTAACATGGTCATAGTATCTCCTGTTTTCAAAACCGCTATCAGCACCTCCATTCTCAAGAAACCCTCACTTTCAGATGTCTCTTGCCCCTGTGATCTCCTGCGACCCTACTCCTCTGGATGCTCCCTTCATGTCTCCCTACCCAGTCTGCTTCACCATCAATGGATGAGCCTTCAGCCTTTTCCCCCTGCTCTATCCCAGAGTCTTTGCTCCTTCCCTCCTTGCTTTTAAAACCACCTTAAGACCCATGCACTTGACAGTGCTTTTAGCCACCAAAATAAACTGATCTTGCTGCAAAAATTAACAAAATGTATTTTTTTTAACCTGAGAGTTTTGGTTAATGTTTTAACCTTCAAAAATATGTCACATGGTTTTGAGTCACTATGGCCTTAATTACTAATTAAGTAATTATATGACTAATTGAATCTTGTTTCAGTACATGAGTCATTCTCGATGATAATTTTCAAAATAACACAAGCTATAATCATTAAACATATGATATAGTTTCACAGAGCGTTCAAATTAACAATTTAATTTGCTCAGCTGGACCCAATCACTGATACAATGTGTTCTTTCAAGTAGAGTATTTGCTAGCCCTGATTTTTCATAAGAATAATAACATCCTGTCAGGCAGGCATAATCTGTGATTTAAACACCACAGATTCTGCAACATTATTTTAAACGCTTAAGAAGGTTCCTTTCATTTGAAGTAAATTGTTTGTCGCTACAGTTCTGTTCAGTATAGTGTAGGCATTTTATTTATTTTTTGATTAGTCAGGGGTCTGACAGTTAGAAAACCATCAACATATTTCAGAGTATCCAAACCAAACTGACTTCTCTATGTGCATACCACCTGCACATGGAAATTTCCCTGTGGCAGGAATAGAGTGCACACTCTCCCTCTGGAGGGATTGCTCTCTGCTTACCTAATTCTGGAAAGTATTCCTTCCATCAAGCAAGCATTCCTTCCGTCTTGGTCAATTGTGTTCCATCCGATTCACATCTTGGGAAGGAATCTTCCAACTTGGGAAGGAATGCTGCAATCGTTTCTGACTCATTCTGCCCATGTATGCTTTCTACTTGCAACATTTCCTCAACAATGGTTACATCGCACACTTGGTTTGGATATCAGAAATTGCACTGATAAATGTGCTTTAACTGTCAGAATTTGTGTCCTGAATAAAAATAAGTTTCTAAATGTTATTGGTAAGCCTTGAATTGTTTAGAAAGAAAGAACTTGCATTTTAGAATACTTTATCACATCAAAAGTTTAAACTTTCACTGGTAATTACATCTTACATTTAGTGACCGTTTTTGTAGTAAAACAAATTCTCCCCTCAAGGATGGCACCCCTGATAATTGACACTTACCCAGGAAATCACTATTGTTTCAGCCTAGAATATGAGTTCAATTAAGTTGGATATTTATAATTGTAATTAATTCTCACATTTCTAAATAAGCTATTTATTATATAAAAATAGCATGACAATCCATAACACAGTAGGAACATACAATGTGCGTGTAAGGCAGTAACTATTAGAATTGGATATAATGTTTGAGCAGGATATTTTCATCTTACCTCCAAAATCTGTTGCTTGTATATGTGTGTGTGTGTATGTATGTATTTTTTACAATATATCATCACTGAAGGTTGGAATTAAACACTGGTTGGTCTGGGTTTCGATGACCTATCTGGCCATGTTACTGTGGCATAATTATTATTATAATGTACTTTGCTTTGGCCATGATGGTGCCATACACTTCTGGTCATCACAATATAAGTATGCTGCCTAGGCACTAGAGGCAGTGCAGACAAGAGTAACAAAGATGATTGCCCAGGGTTACTGAGCTATGAGCAACGGTTAGACAAGCTAGGACTCTTCAGTCTTTAGAGAAGGCGTCTTAGAGGGACATTATAGATGAGCATAACATTTTGAATGGTATTGCAAAAATAAACTCAGAACAATACTTTAGAATGACGAAGAGAGTAGAACAAGAGAACACAGGTTTAGAGTTGCAAAGGGCAATTTCAGGACAAATACCAGGGAGTTTTTCTTTGTTTAGAGGGTATTTATCATTGGATTCAGAAGACAAACCACAATTTGATAAAACACTATATTTTTAAGTCTGTTAATACCTAAAATTGAAGACCTAGTTATATTTAGCGTGGAATCATCAATTATATTTTCATTGAGAGAATCTTATACAAATGTGTATTTTTATGTATATGCATTTTAAAGAGTATTCGATTATTTAATTTATAACGGTGGAAAAAAGTAGAGATGGGAAACTATGTAAAGAACACATTTAACAGGAAATTGGAAATCCTCGGCACCTGACCTTTAAAGAGTTGTGATGTACATGTGCTAATGGATACTAGTGCTCGCAACCTGACCTTTTGAATGGTGGAATATTTCATTTTAAAATATGATGAAGTTTAGCAATCAAAGCTATTCTATGTTTTCAGATCTCTTTCTGTGAATATTTGAATATAGTACTTGATTTGGTAAACTGTTGGCTACACAACTTATGCCACAAATACTGGAGTGTGCATCAATTTCATATTGAGCAGTTCATTTTTTTTTATTGCACCATCACTATCCGAAGACAAACCAACGAACATTTAAATATATTTACAATGTTAGAACCCAAATACATATCTGATTGCATTTTATTAAAGACATTTTTTAAATGGAGTTATGTCATCTTGAAAATCAAACAAACTTGAATAATGGAAGGAGAAGTCTGTTCAACACTTTAAATCCACAAAAACCCATCTTGTGAACTTCACTCTCTCAACCCCAACATTGTTAATGCTGTAGCATATTGAACAATGGAAGTTCGTTCCTCCGATTAGGTTTAGCAATCAAGTTTAAAATGCAGAATGCAAGACAAGTTCTTAAATTTATTTGAGATCCCATGTTCCAAAGTAGAGCCCTTATGTTCCTACAAATAAATAATATTTAATATTATTACTGTATGATAAAGATACATTGCAACATAAAATTCAAAGACAATTTTTACTATCCAGCAACGTAAAAAGCCTGATTATTTTCTTAAAAGTATTTTAAGTTAAAGCAATGTATTATTATTTATTAATATATATTAAGTTCTTTCAATGACCATCATTCACACACTGCTGGAGTCTGTTTATTACTGGCACCTGAGGTATGTTCTGCGAGGGGAAGATCACTTGAGAATATTTCCTTTAAGCTTGCGACATTATATATGTAGACATTGCTTGTGATTCTTCCATTCCTGTGCACTATATAATCACATCCCCACCCCAGGCACACTAGTTAATTGTGTCCAGAGAAACATTCAGGAAACTTTAGTGTTTCTGTTTTATGATTCACTTGTCATTGTCATTTATAATTGTTATTTTTCGTTTAACCAGCTCAAGTCTTTTTTGGGTGTGTCAGTTGAGACTTCTCATGCTGACCAGTAATATAGCCAACATTGTTTTTTAGAATTGGCACCAATATTCTTCAAGCCAGTGTGGCCATCTTGTAAATTTCACCCTTCACCATTTTGGAAATCCATTAGCAGATCTCAAGTGCCTCAGTTCCAAACATTTCACGTTCCAGATTGTCTGTGTTTATGGGGGGAGGGGAGGGTGGAGGGGGGTCTGTTAGACCATCTCCTAGACCTGAAGGCTACACTTGATGAACTATTGAATGGGGAAAAAACAGATACAGTTGTCAACTGCCTGTTCTCCTGAGGGCTCTACTTGTATTCAGCCAGCAGCACACTTGACACCAAGCCCACTGTTGCCTTTTCCAAGTCTAATTTGAAGAACTTCTTACGTTTTCTAAGATAATAATAATCCTTGCATTTGATATAGTGTCTTCTAGATGTTTCAGAATATACTATGAAGTGAATTGACTGTATATTTTGTGGATGAAACGCGGCAGCCAATTGCGCACGGCAGTGTCCCACAAACAGTGGATTGAGTGACCAAATTATTATTTTTTTTCTTGAGGGATTATTATCAGGCGGGTGGAGTAAGGAAACTTTCCTAAGGTTTCGTACTGCTGGGAATCGAACCCAGGTCTCTTGCTTGCGAGGCAAGTGCTCTAACCACTGAGCTACAGGACTCCAGTTGTCTACAATATTGACTATCCTCATAGCTGTTCAGAGACACCCAATTACAGTTTATGTGGGGCTTCAGGATAGACACATCTTCCCTGACTGGTGTTGATAAAACTCTCTTGGGTTGAGAAGGTCACTAAAAGCAGTGTTGAAAAGATAGGTCTTAAAGCAGGTTTTGAGGGTGGGGAAGTGTAATATCCTAAAGGCAGATAATTGCTATTACAGGTAGTCTAAAACAATTTAAATTCTGTTAGAATAAAAACTTGTATTATCTTCTAAAAGTAAAATGCACGGATAAAACGATCAATTTCAGCTTAATTCATCAATTTCATCAATTTTGCACTTGCAGTAACCTTTTTTAGTTTTAATTTTAACTGTAGTACATTTGTACACCATTAGGTGGGAGCTAGTGTATCATGTAATTCTGTTTTTAGCCACTGTTGTACTTACTATGTTTGATTGCAAACAGTGCTTTTTATAAAGAGGCTACTGATAGTTTAAACTAAATGCTGTTGTATACATCCAGTCAGTTGCCAGGTATTGCAAAATACGTGTCTTCTGAAAATCCCCTTGCAGATTTGATGGAACTATCACATTCAGGGGAACAAATTAAAATATTTTCATACACTGCACTGCTTGATTCATTCAGTTTAGAATTGTGTTCACTCTCCATCTCTTGAAGTGGCATGGGAGCACAATTTCTGCTCCTTTAAGTGAAAATGCCCTGTTATTTTCATTAATATTTATGTGGTCAGGATCATAAACATCCATTCAATTATCAAAATAAACATGTTTGCTTCAGTCCCATTGCCTCCTTTTATATATCTATTAAAAAACACCTTTTGAAGCTATTTGCTGAGGTAAACATGTTCAATCATACTTTGGTAGTTTTAAACAAATGAAAGAACTTCACCTTTGGTTTTCAAATTGTGAAAAAAAACCTTTTATTCAACAGAGTTGTTGAAAGAAGCAATCACACCTCGCTGTACCAACTCTACAATATTGAATAATTAGTAAACTTGATGAGTTTGCTTTGTTAATTACTTGCTTTTGGCAAGTAGTCTTGAATTCATTTCAAGCCTCATATGTTGCAAGGCAGTTCCTCTGATATGATCATCCTATACACTGCTTTGCAACGTTGTTTTCTTGACTTCATCAGAGCTACAGAATGTATAAAACCTTTTCTATAATTATCTCTGTATTTTGGTACATAGACAGCAACAGATGGATTAAGATTTTCTGTGAAAACCCATACCTGAAAGAGGAGGGAAATAATGCTTATTAAATCTCAAATAAAGCTACTTAGAAATGCAGGGTATTTGGAATACTAACCAGTATTAGCACTGATAATTTTATTTATCTACATAAAACACATTTATTAATTATAAACCTGACAAAACTAGCAGTGAGCTGAACATGTTTGTTGTACTGAGGCCATAAAACCATCATATGAGAAGGATAATTACCAAACTCCACAGGGGAAATAAGTAATTGTGCTAGTAGTAAAAATTTAATTGCCTCAGAATAAAAAGGTAAATTACAGCCTAACTCCACAGGATATAAATATCAAGGCATCAGGGGTTAAGAGATGGCGTTTAGCAACAAAGTGTAGACCTGTTTAAAATATTTCTTCCTAAATTTTTTTAGTATCTAATGTATATTTAAGTAAACGTTGCTCCAAAAGTATAGTTCTTACAAGGTTCATGTTTTTCTTCCTGTTTAGACACAAATCCCCTTCCTACAAGCCGTTTCATTGCAAATGCAGCTAAGAATTCATTTTCAAAACTCATGGACAGAATAAGTGTGGAGATGGAAAATGATCCAGTTGTGTATGACAGATACTTTGGATATGGGCAGAAGGGTTCATTAATACAGATATTAGGCCATGGGCTCTGCAGAGCTAATGCCAAGGCAGTAAAACAAGGAATTGGAGTCACTGTGCCCATTAAGGTAATGTGAACAGTTTACAATTATTAACCATTTGTTGCTTTATTGACACTATCGTGTATAAAAACAAAGTTTTAAAATGCAGTGTGAAAGATGAGAGTTTAAATTAGTTTGAAATCTTGTGTGTAAAGCCCTCGTGTTCTTAGATGTTAGTTTGTGCACACTGACCTATTTTGAGTAAAGGAAAATAAAAAAATTCAATTCAAACTATTTTCCCTGTTCATAGAGGAAAATAGTATTGTTATAAAACTATATTACTTTTTGGTAATAATCACCACTTTTAGCACAACTCTTTGATGTGCCTCCTCTGATCTGGTGGCATATGTTACAGGGTGAAGTTTGGTACATGCAGAAATAACTCCATTTGGATTAATAAAAGCAAACACTTTAAACCAGTCTGGAGCTTCTATAACATTCAGTATATAATATAATGCACAGCCAGCATTAGAGGTCTTTGGATCAACTCCCAGACCAGTCCATCAATCCTATTCTGTTAAACAAAATGAAACCATTCTGGGATGTGCCAGCTTTCTTCCTGGCAGCGATGGCACCTGACAGAGCTGGCAGCTGAGGAAATTGGTCCCAAGTGCACAGTAAAAAGCAAGGAGTTCTCACTAAAGGTAGAATACGATATACAATATTTTTGTTCTATAACTCGGGGGAGTACTTTGAACATAAAGTAATCCCTCTAGACTTTCTTTCCCTTTTAGGTTCTTAGAATTTTGGACTCTACTGGGAATTAATGCTTCCCAGCCAACCTGATCAAACTATTATTTTAATAATTTATTACAGTAAAGCAGTGGCTTTACTTTTACTCATTCTAGAAATGGCATTCAATCCCATTTCTCGCTTCAACACCATCCAGAGTATGTGTTTGTTCAAACCTTTATGTAGAGTTCATGCCAATGAAGTGCTTGAATCCAGCCTAAATTGTTTTACTCTTTGATATGTCCTATTGTCTTACTAAAACAGTTAAGGTACCTTGGATGTTTGAAAATAGGCACTTGGGTTTTGAGTTTGTATCTCAATTTTATGGCGTGTTTTTAAACTCTTGAGTGTGATAATTAAGGGAACAAAACAATATTTGAATTATGTGGCTTACTTTATTCGTAGATTGATTTTATATGTTTTATTTGGTCATGATGATCATCAGTAAATTATAGTAGTTAATATTTGTTTAAAATATACAATTAGCTTCTTGTAGCAGTAGATGCTTGAGCAGTATCCCTGTGTTCCAATGAAAGAGTTTATGTAGTAATTTGCATCTTGTGCATTGGAGAATAACCCTTAACATTAACAACCTAAAAAACATTATTAGTGCAGGGCAGGGTAGAATAGGCTTTCATCAGTAATAAATGTTCTTTTAACAACAATAAGTTGACAATAAATTTAAACCAAAGAAAATGTCATCAAATCAACACTTTTTCCTCATTCAATTGCATCCTTCTTTGAATGGTTTAACTTTTATGCCATTTTAGTAAGTTGTTAACCCTATATTCCCAAATATTTTGTGTTCTTCACTTAGCAAAGTGTGGAAGTATTGAAGAAACAGATCCTTGAATTTACGCAGCGCCTGCATGCAGCAGAAGTAGAGCGTCGCTCGTTACGTATGGAGCTTACACAAACTAAAAATGAGTTGAGTGAGCAGAAAAAAGAAACTGGGAAATCTCAGAACCTTGAACACCAGCTGAATGACCTCAAGCAAGCTATGAGGGTGAAGATATCTCTTTGTGTGTTATTATTTTGCTGTGGCTTTTATCCCAAGGTTAAAATAAAAGCTATCTTGCATCCATTCGTTTGTTTAGCATTGCACTCCCTGAAAATGCCATTTTAAGAGGAAAAATGATCTTCAGGTATTTGCACTTGAGCTCACATTATTTGTGCGAAAACATCTAAATGGCATAAATATATTTTCTATACCTGCTGTCCTGATTTTTTCAAGTGTATAAAGTAATGAGTTTATTGTTCGTTTTCTTTTAAGATCTTGTTGGTAGTAGGCCACTTAGGAAATAGTGTATCAGCCTCAGTAACGTCATTTCACCATGCTGGTCTACATTAATTTTGGTGATAAATATTTCTCTATCACATAATTTGCTCTCTGGGATAGCATTTTGTATTAGGAAATTTCTTATAACCCATTAAATATGCAATGAAGTAGAGTCCTGGCTCTGGCTGCACTCTCTCTCATATAATACCCAAGAAAGGGAGGGAGAACAAACATCATTCCCAAAGCAATCAAAACTGGTTGTGTTTATTTTTCAGGCTGCACCACTATATAGCCATAAATATTCTAATAAGTACTTTGGAGCTCCAGATTACCAATATAAAATCTGTAGCATCTATAAATTTTAACTGGAAATATTAGTCAAGATGTTCCAATAGAGTTCTGGTTTTCCAATTGGTATGTCCTAACTTGAAGGTTTTGGCCAGCTTCATTCTCCACTCAGGGCTTTTGTTTGACAGGCCACTATTGTTTAAAGCTGTGTTGAAATTGTTTGCGATGATGCTTATTCACAGGCCCAGTTATAAAGGACACAAGCCATTCATTGACACTTTTCCTTGTTATATCTACAGAATTTCTATTCTTAAAATAATCAGACACAATATTACACTCTGTATTTGAAACAATGTTAGATCAAACCGACCTCAATAATAATATTGTTTAGAGAACACCTTATTGATTAAGTTAAATTGAGATACGAGAGCTGGGGCTCCCCTCAAAAATCAGCAATAAAATACTGCACAATATTATTTTATGTAATAACATAATCCATGCATTTGATATAGTGCCTTATCATGTTGTTGAGATGTCTCCATGCACTTCACAGATGTACTGTAAAACGTGATGACTTTGTATTTTGTGGGCTAATGTGAAAGTCAAATCGGGTACAGCAATGTTCCATGAACAGCCATGAAGTGAATCACCAATTTTATTTGGAGAATTATTGACCAGGATACCGGGATAAATTCCCTTAACTTTTTGAATAGTGCCATGAGATATTTAACAGCCACCTGAACAGGCAAACGGGACCTTAATTTAAATTCTCATGTGAAGGATGGCTCCTCCAACACTGCAGCACACCCCAAGTACTGCATTGAAATGTCAGCATAAACTAAATGGGTCCTGATGTGGGGCTTGTGCTCACAAACTTCTAACTCAGAGGCGAAAGTGCAAGCAATTGAGCTAGGCTTGCACACCAGTATTCATAGTTACTATAGTTCAAATAGTTTAATGAAGTATTTTTGTGATGCTGCATAACTTAATGATAACTTACAATCGCATATTTCATAAATCTTTTTGTAATTGGTAGACCCAGAAGATGGTTCCATTTGAAAGGTTTGGGAGTATATGTGAAGAGCTGAATAATGCATTGCACAGAGAACAGCAAGCCCAAATGCTGTTAAATGAACAAGCTCATCAGATGCAGGAGCTGGGCTTACGACTTGAGCTGCATTCCAGTGAAGAGGCAGAAAAGGATCAGACCCTTTCTGAGGCAATAAAGGTAGGCACCTGACCACATTGGCAAGAGTGATTTGTGTCTCATCATAATCTGACAATAAGTTGCATTAGTTCACAACTAATTCTGATCCATTTATTTTGTCTTGGTTAATTCATGGGTACTCTTCAAATAAATTTACCTAATGATGCTCTTTTACCCTGTATATTGTGGTCTTAAAAAAAATCGTTTACATTAGCCATAACAATGGCTCTGCTTAATCTTGAACTTTGTCAGAGAAAGATAGAGGAAAAAAGACATTGGGACATCCTACAGAGCACTGTGAAATGTAATCATCATCTTACTTTTGAAGAAGAGCTCCATGCAATCATCCTCTCGCGTGAGATAATTTTGAGTTTTATCCGTGCTTTGTGGGGTGCCTTCTTTGATTTTCTCAACAAGCATGTACAAGCATTATCTTTTCACTGTTTTCCAAGGCTGTTTTCCTTTGTAGTCGTTTATATCTATGATGACTTTTAGAAAACATAAAATTGATCTGTCTGTCGCCTGTAATTTGTTATTACATGCTGTTGGTGTGTTGAAAGCATACAGTTACCAAATAACTCAATCAAAAATGTGTGTAGTTTTATTTCCTTCTGTCCTCTCTCATAAAGGAAGCAACTAATATTGATGCATAGTTTTCCAGGATCTGGCACCTCACACAAGTTGCCGTTTATAGAACAGAATCATAGAATATTCAAAAATAGAATCCATAAATTAGAATTTCCCCCAGTAATCGTAGTAATACTCTACCCATCGATCCACTCTACCCATCGATCCACTCTACCCATCGATCCACTCTACCCATCGATCCACTCTACCCATCGATCCACTCTACCCATCGATCCACTCGGAGCACAAGAAGTCCAAAAATAGTCTCCCTTTAACCCCACAGAGAGTTTCTGTTTATTAACCCTTCAAACCTAAAGCAAAAGCATCAAAAATAGCAATTATCATGGATAATAATGTAATATTCTTATTCATGTCCATTTTTTGTTTGGCTGAACTAATGAAGCAGTATTGCAAAAATTCATTACAAAAATAACTGATTTTAAACTCATATGATTGACCTTTATTTTTCTGTAATAAAATAGTCAAGTAGCACTAGTGTTTTGTTGTCTCATGCTAACCCTCAAACCCCTCCTCTCGACTCCTTCCAGGTTCGCCTCAAGATCTTTTATTTTGACCGTGTCTTCGTTCATCTTCCCCTGGCCCAACCCCGTTCTCACTCCTAGCTCGGGTAGCAAACCCTGGACTGTCCAGTGCCTTGAGACATCTTTCTGACATGAAAGGCATAAATGTAAATTTGTTGTATACCTGGCTTCCTGCACCAAGAAATGGCAGACTTTCAGGTCTTCAGGTTGTAGGAAATGATATCAGCGTTGCTTCGTGTATATAGCGTGCAAATCATGAGAAGTGATGTCAGTGTCGGCCATTTTATTCGCTAAAAATGCAGCCTCTGAGATATTAGAACCATGTTATAGCCTGAAATCTGTACTTCAGAATGACAATCCAATAAGAGACTATTTAGTAATGTTGAAGTGTGTGCACTTAACCGAAGCAGTGATTTGTAAAGTACAGCTGATTGTTTTGAACACTGATAAATATATCCTATAAAATAAAAGTATGAGACTTGTTAGCTCATGGAATTATCACACAGTTCTGTTACTTCTCAGATCAGGAACTTCTCAGATCCATCCTTGAGTAATGATATGAAAATCTGCTCGCTATCAATTAAGTTCCTACGTGAAATGAATTTGGCCAACCTCTGGCTCTGACTCTTATCTTATTCAGGCTTCTCATTCCAGCTCATGACGCCTGTGCAGAATCTTAATGTTTCTTCAACCCCTACAAGTTTCACTCTATCTGATATTGCAGTATATAACTTGATAGCAGTAAAGGGTGACAAAAGTGGAAAAGTGTTCCATTACAACATTTCTTATCTTGATCAGTTTAGAAATGCATTGTACATGGATACAGACAGATGTAAGAGCGTATCCTATTAATAGATACTGTAATGGAACTAAGCTTTTGAAACCATAAATATTGATAGAATAACTTGTACTGTTTTAAAGGTTCCCAATTTATTTTATGTCTGATACAATTATAAGAAGGTTTGTAGGCAATTTAAAGATCATATGCAGGGCTTATTTTCTAATGTTGCACAGGTTCAATAGTACTTTCAGTGAATTAAAGTTTTACTTTTTTTTAACCCAGCCATTGTATTTGTGGATGAAAATCTTTATTATTTTGCGAATCAATACTTTGACAAAAAAAATTAGTCATTAGAGGCAGTGTAACACTCCAAAGATTTGATACTGTAATAAGTTTTAAAACACTTGGGATGAAAGATATCAGTGGAAATGAAAATAATTCCATTGCACCAATGTGATATCAAAATAGTAAAGTAACATAGTAGTTTTTCCAGACTGGATGGTTTGTTCCCCTGTATGTTCAATCTTTCCTCCCCATTCCCACAGGGTATAGAAAATTAGAGAAAAGAAGGGGGAAGAGGATTCTCCTTCTCTCCCCTCCGCCCCCTAGAAAGACATCCTGTCCTAAGTCCTAAGTGTTGGGTAATAACCAGTTTCCACTGATTACCTACTTCTTGAATATGCTATTGTCTTCCTGTGAATCATCTAATAATTCACCCTAGGCTACAAAATAGAAACAGTTTGTGCAGTGCTGTTCATCTAAAAAAAAGTCTTGGTTCTTTTCATTTCTAATTTACCTGCAAATCCTTGCATCAATCTGGCTCGGTTGATAGCAGTCTTGCTTCTGAGTCAGAAGGTTGTAAATTTAAGCCCTAGTCTGGATTTTGAATTTACATAGTGTAAGCTGACACTTCAATGCAGTGCTGGGCATGTGCTGTTTTGTTAGAGGTTCCATCCTTTGGATGAAATGTTAAATCGAGGTCCAATCTGCGTATTTAGCCATATGTTAAAAGATCCCATTGCACAATTCGAAAAGAGAAGGAAGTTTAAGGTATACTCCACAGACACGCGATACACACACGCCTCTGTTTACCTAGCAGTAAGTAGGAAAAGTAGGAACCCATTTGTTTGTCGATTGGTGGATCACTTTCCAGGGGTAATAATCCTTTACAAATGTTTGGTTAAATGTTTGATCAAAATCTAATTTCATTTTGGTCAGTGGCATTGAGTAGCAATTGAAGTCTTCCGTAATCTATCAGTTTGGTGGGAGAGCATCTTTTATCTTCAGATTTATGAATAGTGTTAAACCATTGGTTCCCAATTGGAATTTAAATTCTAAATTTTTTTTCTGAAATTTTAATTTGCTTCTTCTCAACCATCTTTCAAACAAGCAACTTGAAAGATTGTATTGTCTATTTCATTTGTTGCTGCTCATAAAGTAAACAATATCAAGTTACTGATTATCAATAGCTTTACTGAGCTTTACTGAGCTTGCCTTTTTGCCCCAACTCAATTTTTCTATCAAAGATGATGCCCAGTTTCATCTTGACCAAAGAATTCCCCCTTTATTCCTCCATCTCCATAATTTTAAAATAATATTTCAAAAGGGCAANTTTTTTATGTTGATCATACAAAACCTTTCTACGGTCAAATGAATAGATTGCGGCCTATGACCTTAATACAAAAGTAATTGAGCGACTAAATAGAGAATAAGTGGTTAGTGGACTGTATAATTTAAATGGTTAAAATGGTTAACAGAAAAATAAAACTTTCACAAAACAGTAATTTTGAGAGCTATTATACACACATGGTCATGCCCACACTCACCTATATAGTGTATATAAAATATATATTTTGCATGAATTTCAACACATGGGCATTTTATTTCAATTAAATTTGTTTTTATATTGGCAGTGTTGTGTAAAAGATTGCTTTGAATTTGCATTATTAATGGGAGTGTTCTGAAATATGTTTGAAATGACTGTTTAGAAGAACCCATTTTGTCAGCTAAAGTTAAATTAAAAAATTAAACTTGTTCAGTTTGAAGTTTTCTTTGTGCTTCTAATACTGCAATAAAGCAGAAGAAAACGTAGCATTATCGACTTGTGCGATTAACTTACATCATTTTTTATGACTCTTGATGCTTGGTATGTGCTGTGCCTCAGATTAAGCTGTGGTGTGTGCAATTCAGATAAGTGTTGCCTTATTGACCTCTCTCAGACACACAATTGCCGAGCTGTATGTTTTTAGTTTAATTTCATTGGGGTTTAATTAGTATACAAATAAAACTTTCCTTATCTTTTTCTCTACCTAATTGGCCTGTCTTTGCTAATGTGTGAAGTGTATGAAAGTAGGCTGTAATTAGGATGACCATGCTCACCTTTTTCTTTCTAACTTACAATCGCCTGAAGGTCTCAGAACCTTAAAACAGTGCTTTGGATTATTGCTTTGCAATCAGTCTAGCTATCCCTTAGGCTTTATCATGAACAGAAGGGCTTTGGGTGCTGCAGGTTCCCACTACATAGCAGGATCTTCACTAAATGTTTATTGATTATCTTGCTGCTCCTCGCTCAGCTTCCAACAACTTAATATCAGGTGACAGTCGAGAGAGTTCTCTGAGTAATTAGAGTTGAGCATTGGTGGAACAATTAGGAGCAGAGTTATTAAACTTGATTTATCCTATTCTCTCCTGCACTGCTTGCCGGATATCAGGCCATCACATGCTCAAGGAGGACCATGAACTCACGCTTGTTGGAAATTAATGGGTATTCAATGACTTATCATTGTTGTTTGTATTACACAAAGGTAGCCAGCAACTTTCAGTTGCAAGGTTGAGAATTTCAGAATTTATCAAGGGGTTTAATTAGGCCTGTGTAAAGCATATGATGTAGCTTAGTCAGTGGAGGAAGTCTTTCAACATTACTGTCAGTTTTGTAAAAACATGTTATCAGTCACTGGAAAGTTTTTGTGCATAATATCAACAGTAGGGGGTAAAAAAAAATGCAGTTGATTAATGAGTAAGTATTATGTAAATATATGCCTGGTATGAAAGATGTCAAAACACCTTGCCCT